CTTCCTGTTTTGAAGCATGTGCTGCCCCAGTTTGCTTCTGTTGAATCTTTTAAGTTAAATTGTGAAACATGCGTTTTGCCAAACAATGTCGTATTTCTTATCCTACTAGTATTAATAAAAGTACAACCTTGTAGCTTGTTCATTCTGATGTGTGGGGTCCTGAATCTACTACTTTGTTACTTTGTTGTGTTTGTTGATAACTTTAGTCGATATACTTGGCTTTATCTTATGAAACGCAAAGATGAAGTTCATTCCATTTTTAAAACCTTTCATAAGATGATATGTACTCGGTTTGGTTATCCCCTCAAAATCCTTCGATCTAATAATGGAGGAAAGTTTATGTATGGTGGTCTTGCCTTCTTTTTTGCTGATAACGAGATTGTCCATCAAACCTCCTGTGTCAATACACCACATCAGAACAGTGTAGCTGAGAGAAAACACCGTCACATTACAGAGGTGACTCGTTCTCTTCTAATTGGGATGGGAGTGCTTAAAAGTTATTGCGCTGATGCAACCTTAACAACAACATACCTTATCAATCACACGCCTTCTAAGGTTCTTGGCTATCAATCCCCCTTCTCTGTCTTACACCATCACACTACCTTGTTTATTGTCCCTCCGAAAGTGTTTGGTTGTGTTTGTTATGTTCACATTCATTATCACAAGGTCAAAATGGACCCTAAGGCAATCCAATGTGCCTTTCTTGGATACTCCGCCACTCAGAAAGGGTATCGGTGTTATAACCCTACCACTAGTTTGTCTCCATGGATGTTACATTCTTCGAGTCTGTTCCTTTTTTTTCCACTGCTCGAGATTCTCTACAGGGGGAGACTACTATACAAGTAGAGAATCCATCATCCATTCAGAGGGAATGCCCCCTTCCTTTGCCTGTTCCCATTCAGGGAGAGGTTCTCATTCAGAGGGAGGTTCTTACTAAGGTGCCTATGTCTAGTCCTCCTAACACTAATGATTTGCAGCAAGAAAACAACTAATTGTCTACACTAGGAGGGCAAAACAAGTCATTGACTCACCCCAGGACCAAGAAGCCTCCCTCGATCCAAGTAATTCCTCAGTTGACATTCATACTCCTAATTCTTTTCCCAATAGCATTCATGTTGATCTTGATGTCCCTATTGCCTATCGTAAAGCTGTTCATAGTTGTACAAAACATCTCATATCTCAGTTTATATCCTATGATGCCTTATCTGCAACATATCGTGCTTTCACTTCGTGTATCTTCTCTATTCTGTTATGTTCCTTCTAGTGTTTCAGATACTCTCAGTCAAACTCCATCGTAAGAAGCCATACTTGAAGAGATGAAGGCCCTTGAGAAGAATGGTACTTGGGATATTGTTCCATTACCTAGGGGTAAGAAACAAGTAGGCTGCAAATGGGTCTACCCAATAAAGTATCATGCAGACGGGACAATTGAGAGATAGAAAGCCCGGTTAGCTGCAAAGGGCTTCACTCAGACCTATGGGATTGATTATCTTGAAATATTTGCTCCAGTTTCCAAGATGAACTCTATACATGTCCTTCTTTCTTTGGCAGCTAATTTGAATTGGCCTTTACATTAGCTAGATGTAAAGAATGCTTCCTTCATGGTGACTTGGAGGAAGAGGTGTATATGACTATGTCACCAGGGTTTAAGCTTGCCAATGGTCAGAATTTAGTGTGCAAGCTAAATAAAGCTTTGTATGGGTTAAAGCAGTCGCCACGTGCTTGGTTTGAGAGGTTCAGCACTGCTGTGAAAAGAGTAGGGTACACACACAGTCAAGCAGATCATACTCTTCATCAAGAAGCACCAAGGCTGCACCACTGCCCTTATTTTATATGTCGATGATATTGTTATCACTAGAAATGATCCAGAAAAGATTCATCGAATGAAGTCATTCTTGGGGACAAAATTCGAGATTGAGATACTTTCTTGGCATTGAGGTGTGCAAATCGAAGAAATGGGTGTTCATTTCTCAACAAAATTATGTGTTAGATTTGTTGGCTGAACAAGCAAGCTTGAAGCTAGACCTATTGATATTCCCACTGAGCAGAACCATAGGTTTAATGGTGTAGATAGAGACCCATCAAATGATGTGGGAAGATTTCAGCGACTGGTTGGGAGACTGATTTAACTACCTCTCACGCCCCTGGATATTGCCAATGTTGTTAGTGTGATTAGTCAATTTATGCATGCTCCACGTATACCTCACCTTGAGGCAACTCATCATGTTCTTCGCTACCTCAAGGGTTCACTTGGTAAAGGGATATTGTTTGGCCGTCATGGCCACTTGTGTGTTGAAGCCTATACTGATGCTGATTGGCAGGGTCTACGATAAATCAACGATCTACTTCAAGATATTGCACATCTATTGGAGGTAATCTTATTTCATGGCGAAGCAAGAAACAGTCTGTAGTAGCTAGATCTAGTGCAGAGGCTGGGTTCAGATCCATGGGACATGGAGTTTGTTAGTTGTTATGGCTACGTACTATGTTGGGTGTTGGGTTATCCTGTTCGCGGGTCAATGAAGTTTTATTGTGACAACAAGGCTGCTACTAGCATTGCCCACAATCCAGTTCAACATGATAGGACAAAGCACATTGAATTCGATCGACACTTCATCAAGGAAAAGCTTCGGCTTGGGCTGACTTGGACTCCATACGTCAACAGACATGATCAGGTTGCTGTTGTTTTTACTAGGTGTGTGAGCAAAACTTGCTTGCAAAATATGTTAGTCAAGATGGGTATGATAGATATCTTTACACAAGCTTGAGGGGGAGTGTTGTCAGGGGCTTATTTGTTATTACTTATATAATGTTGGGTGCTTATGTGTAATTTTTGAAACTTATTAGCATAAATAGAATGTGGTGGAAGGATAAAAGCATTCTTTCATTCTCTCTCTCTTTCCACATCTCTCTTTTTATATCCTCCTCTTTCTTTTCTTTTTCTTCTTCTTCTTATACTGTACTCTTGAATTGATTATCTCTTAAAGTCAACAGACGCATCCCTCTGTGTTGGATTGAAGCAAAGGAAGCAGCCAAAAAACCCACAAAAACGGATCAACAAAAAATGGACCAAAATTCAGAAAAAGTTACGAAAAATGGAAAGTCAACTCAAACAACCTCAGAATGGAGAACAAACACCACCATAATTATCAGAAAATGCAGGAGAGGGTTTTCGACCTGTAAATGCTGACATCAACATGACATCATGCTGACATCAGCATGTGGACTTTGACTATCAACCTGCTTATTTACAGAAATTTTCTCTGGACGTGTTCCTGGATTCAAAACCTTGTTCTGATACCAAATTAAAGTGAATAATAGTGTGTTTAAGGGTTAGAGAGGAGAAGGAGAAGGAGGAGAATCTGATGTGTGTATTAGGTGCTACACACCACCTCTCCTATTGATATTAAGCAAGCAAAAATTACAGTAATGTCCTTAATAATCAAAAATAAACTCTAACAAGCTTTACGAAACAAAACCACCAGGACTTGGTTTCCTCTCACCTACTAATGAAAATAGTTAGTTGCAAGTGGGTATACAAAACCAAACGATAAAGCTCGACTATTGGTTAAATGATTTCATCGAGAACCTGGAATTGACTTTGGTGACACATCCATCACTGTTACTAAACTGCCCCAATTTGAACTCTGTTGTCGCCATATCATTTAATTGGCCAATCCAGAACCAGGCAGCTCAAATGTAAAAATTTTATTTTTGTATGGTCTTCTTAAGAAGAGGATATTATGTGCAACAAGCACCAGGTTTTGTAGATTGAAGGTCACCATCTTATGTATCCAAGCTTCAAAAAGCTATTTATGCTCTTTGACAAGCACCAGGTTTTGTAAATAGTGTCCATAACCTATTCTTATTAGCCTAGCTGTTATAGCACCCTTTCTTCTCTCAGCTAACACTGGGATGTTTGACCTATGCCAAAGAAACCTCATAATTACTCATTCAAATGATAATTGGCCTGGTAGCCCGACTAGTATTCACGGCTTAACCACTAACTAGTATATCTTCTTCTTATGTTAAAATGTTATGACAAGGGCCGGTTCGAAGAAATAACTTAAGTTTTCTCGCTCAAGGGCTGAAGCAAAATACTTTGGTTGTCAGTATTTCTGAATTACTCTGGTTATCTTACGCTCATAAGGACCTCCTTGTCTTGGTCAAGTCAAGTATGGTGGTTCACTGTGACAACCTCAGCAATTACTTATATGGTATTATACTAGTTTCGTGTGCTATCTAAAGATAATTGAGGTTAACTATCATTTTGTTTACACTTGGATTTTGATGGTCGATTTGAAGTTCAAATCATCATATCTTCTTCATAATTAGCTGACATGTTCACCAAAGGACTTCCACAACAAACATCCATTGACCAACCTAAGATGCTTCTTGATCCGAGTAACAATTTTAGGAGAGTAATAGAACAAATGATCATGCTACTGAATTCCTCAATTCAATCATAGACTATTGCATTATCTGTGGCTAAATCTACTCAATGATTTAGTACTACTTGCATTGGATTTTGAAGCTTTTCTTGTACAAAATTCTGTAACGTATTTTTTGAAACTTTTCTTGTACACAATTTTATAATGACAATGAGGGTGAGCCTTGGTGCAACGGTAAGGTTGCTCCACTGTGACCTGCAGAGGTCACGGGTTTAAAACAAGAAAACAGCCTGTGGAGGGTTGCACTCTTCTGACCCTCCCCATAAGCGCATAGCTACACTCATATGTAGGCAGGATGTAAGTCTTTAATATTATTTATGCTATATTAATTTGCATATTTAGATGTTCCTTACTCTTCTAGATCATTGTGCAAAGCTAATTTCTCACTTGGTCAAGTTTTGTGCCTACTTAATTCCCTTTTGTAGTTTTTTTAATGACATGTTCTAGATTTCAAAATGTACTTCGTGGTTGGAAATAGAATTTCACATATAAACTAAATGAAGCATTGAATTCATAGTGATGAAAAGCTTTATAGCTAGTTACACTTACTCATGAATGCAGTTGCAGTTGCTGGAAACTCTGTTATGATCCCATCAACTTTAAACGCCATAATGAAAGAAGCCAGCTCCACCATTGGATCCGCAAAATAATCAAATGCTAATGAAACAAATTCATTTCTGAATACAGATACGTACACCGATACATTTGCCTTGTGCATTTCCTCAACAATGCTTGTATTACTGACGGTGTAAAATTGGGAAGTTGTAATGATGGAGGATCTGCGAAGGTTAACTGCATCCGCGAACTTCTTGATTTCCTCCACCGTTTTCGTAGGTACGTCACTTATTGATTTATCGATAGACAATACTCTTTTATAAGTTGGGACATTACTGAACTTAGATAGTACTGCACTGTCATCGGATTGGATCAAAACTTGTTTGGTGGATTCCTTGTCAAATGAGGCATTTCTCAAAGCAGAAGCAACAGCATCAGTTACGCTAAGACCCTTCTTTGATGCCAAGTACGAAGCATTCTTAGGGAGAACAGTGGAAGCTAGCATTAGATTAATGATACTTCAAGACACAAAATATATATACCATTTATTTTTTTATTTTTTTAGCTGAAACAATTAATTAGTAGATCTCAAATGCCCTTAATAGCTAGGCATGCATATTATATAATTTTCATATTAAATGTGAAAATTAAGCACTATATAAGACATGCTGACCAAACACAAATTAAAGCTAGCTTAATATATACCCGTATGTTGATTAAGATTCCTTCAACAGCCGTTTTCTTGGAAAAATCCAGAAATTCTGGGAGAGTCATAAATTTACCCTGGTTTTTATTTGCTGGATTTCTTAATAAGCCCTCTTGTGGGAATGGTAGCTTTATTTGAGCTGAAAAGAGAAATTAAGACAATCCATCAGTCAAGATCCAATAATATATATCATATAAATAAAATATGTATAATGAAATAATTAAATTGGGAGGGAATTAATTCAGAGAGCTAGCTAGGCTTAGAAGAAGAAGAAGTTTACGCTTCAAGGTTTTAATTTCAGTCCATGTGAGATCAAATGAGAAAATTCCACTTTGTTTTTGAATTTCAGGGACCATAGCAGATTTAGATGTGAAACTAGTCAATGCAGTAGTGTCTCCCGAGAGGTCAGCTGAATGCATACAGAATGGCACTCCATCTTTTGACATTTGAACCGAGCAATCTATTATGTGTGCCCCATCATCTACTGCTTGCTCATAAGCCAGATCAGTGCAGGCAGAGTAAACCCCACTCGCTCCGTTGTGTGTTATGATTAAAGCTTTTCCTGGTTAAAACAAAAAATATATACATATATATTCCTAAAATCAACAACTGAACTACTGCTATGCATGCATGCAGGTAGGCAGCTCTTACAATTCATTACGTCTCTTTATTGTATTGCATTGTACATATAAATTATTTTCAGAGCTAGGTAAGTTCACATGCGATTACATTAGATCAGTAAGTAATTTTAATTACTTTACCTTTATCAGGCTTGCTTGCATTTTTGTTATTCACCAAGCATGCTGCAACCAAGAGAATGGATTGTAATTTTCAATTATTAGCAAGTGAAACATGTACATTGGGGACGTACAGAAAATATATACAAATACAAAATACTAGATAGCTAATTAATCATAAAAAATGAAAATAGTAGCTAGTGTACCTACCAATTGATTCGGATGCAGTGGAAGGGAAATCAGTGATAAAGCCATCAACTGAAAAGTGGGAATTATCAATAAACTGGAGGTACTCAGCTGTTGGATCGTAGCTGTAATTAAAAGCTCCTATCATGTCATTTGCAAATCCAGAAACGAACACTTGTAGACCTTCCTTGTGAGCATCGCCTACCAGACTAGTTGGAGCAGCTTCTAAATAGCGGTCTTTATTGACGGGCCAAATGTATTCTTTGGGGATGATAATTCCCGAAGCGAATGACTTTATGGAAGAAAGATCTTTGAGTATGGAAAGATATGGTTTTTGTGTTGTGGGTTCCACTGCACCACCTTCTAGGAACCGGAAAACTAGTTTTGTTTGTGGTGGTTTGTTGTTCCCTAACTTGCCACTCATGTGCTTCAAGAAACCAATGTCCGGAGACGAAATGTACAGTATGGGCATAGATTTCATTGCATCTTGAACACATAATGCAGGGTCCAGCTTGTTGTCAGTATAGAATTTGTTGTTCTGCAACATATCAGAATTCAAAAATGTATGTTAGTACGCGTGTAAATGAATGATGTACAATAATAAAAAAAAGATCAAACATGTTGGGGACTATTTGGTAACACTGTTTTTTTTTTTTTTTCTCCTTTTTGATGTGCTGTTATTTCTGTGAAAAACGGAGGCAATGATTCTGTTGAGCAATTCATGAAAAACGGAGCTGAGCCACTACTATACAATATAAAACAGAAAACTTCCTGCAGCACCAAATTGGTGCTTTCAAAAATATAAAGAAGTTGACAGCTCATTTTGGGGTTTTCTTTTCTTTTGTTTTTTTTTTTTTTTTAATGGCAGCAGAAAATTGATAATGACATCATCACCAAACAGGGCCTAAGTCCAGATGATATGATATGATCTCTCCATTCAAAAAAGAAGGTTGAGAGTTCGAGCTGCCCGCGATCATGTTGTGGGTAATGAGCTAGGTGTGTTTGTTGTAATTTCCATGTGTGTGTGTGTGTGTGTGTGTGTATATATATATGCACAGTTAGCTAAACGTGTGTTTTTGATAATATATTATTAGTTATTTTGAGAAAGTTTTAGATTACATGTATGGTACTAGAGAATGCGAGCAGCTTGTAATTAAAGGGGAGAGAGAGAGAGAGAAAAATAGAGAGAGAGAGAGAAAAATAGAGAGAGAGAGAGACAGACCGACCTGAACATTCACCCACACTGCTGCTGGTTGTTTAGTAATTTTTCCTAAGGCTTCAAGGGGAAGCATATGCGATAGGCCATCAAACTCCAATGGTCGACTACCTACATTCTGAGTCACTGTGGAAGAATATAACAAGTTTAAAAAAAAAAAAAATTGTATATATGATTTGAAAGCCCTCAAGAGGAAAAGAAACAAAAATAATAATAATGAAACATTAAGAGCTTTGTTTCTTTTCCTTTTCTTTTTTCTTTTTCTTTTTTTTCTTTTGAAAAGTTAATTGTATAAATATATTAGAGATTACAAGAGTGGGCTGAGAGACCCAAAAGTTAGTCCATAAACGTAGGCCTAACTGAGAATGTCAAGACCACTAGAAGGCCCAAAACTAACTGCATAACCGTTAACCACTAACTCCTAAATTCCTAATCTGTAAGACGTAGTTAAAAAAAAAAACTCCGTTTTTAGATAATTATAATCTCTCAAAATAACTTTTTTACTTTCACAGTTCTAAAACTTCACCAAACACCAACGGGCCAGTAGCCTAGCGGTACCAAGCTCCTACTTTCCAAAGGGAGGTAAGGGGTTCGAACCTCGGTGGAGGCGCGTGTGTGTGATTACCAACTAGGAAAAAAAAAATTCACCAAACAATACCATCTTTACAAGACCGTCCCATGTGGGACCCTTAAAACCCATGACATTGAATAGTGAAGTAAATTTGGAAATTTATATACTCTCTCCGTTTAGTTTATTTTTCCCTTTTAGCATGTCCCAAATTAATTGTTCCTTTTGAAAAGTCAAACAAAATAAATGCAATCTTTCTATAATTACCCTTTTAAATTTTCAAAAATCTTCTATAATTACCCTTTTACTTTTGAAAGGACAATAAAGTAATTTGAAAAGAGGACAATGCATGTCCCCTTATTAAGGCAAACGATGGACAAGTAATATGGAATGGAGGGAGTACAAACTTAAATAATTAATGTACTTCCTTTGCTGCTTGGAATCCAAAAAACAAAACAAACAAAAGAGCCTTGATTGGGCATTCCAAAGTCTAATGCATCTGAGTGTCATGATGATGTCATCCCTTACTCACGTATAAAAATGTGGGATACATCCAATATTATTTTCAAAAGGAAAATACATTCTTGTTGAGACACGCATGGCAGTACATATGTGTGTGTATATACATACATAACAAGTAATGATCTCTTACTCACCGCTGAGCAAAAAACTTCTCCACACCAAGCATGGTAAACGTTAAATATGATTTAAGTGTAAAAAACGTAATTACCAATATATATATATATATATATAACAATTATATCCAACAGTTACCATACATGGTATGGATAAATTTCTTGCTATCCGTTAAGCAAGAAATAATTTTTCTATATGTCACACAATTTAATTAAATATATAATGAAAAGAATAATATAGACTTACATGTGACATTAGAAAGTAGTTGTTCAGCCGTATAATCCAAGGCAAACCAGCCGCGAAGTTCCTGTCCACTAACATTGTAGGACTTTTGTCCATTGGGGAAGACATGAGTTATGATCGTTGAATTGTCAAGCCTTACACCCGACTGGCACACGCCCTTACCATCTTTTGTTAGCTGTAGATCACAGAACAGTATCACATTGGGCAAGCTCGTCTGTAGTGCAAATTTATATGCAAGCTCACCCCCTTCTGCAAAAAGCCCTGAGTATCCACCACGCGCTATTACAAGAGGACTCTCCCCTGCAAAGTAGGTGTGTCAGTTTTTTTTTTTTTTTTTTTTTTTGGTCAATGTAAATCAAAAAATACAATTAATATTAATTCAAAAACATAATTTAAATTTACCCTCTTTTAGTTTAAGAATATATTAATAATAAAACAAATAAAACAAACAGTTAATTTACCAACACGCCAATGGCCTACCGGTACCAGACCCCTACTTCCCAAAGGGAGGTCAGGGGTTCAAGCCTCAGTGGAGGCATGTGTGTGTGAGTACCAACTAAGAAAAAAAAAAACAAACAAACAAACAAACAGTTAATTTAACCACTAAGTTGATACCCTGAAACAGTGGAGGCGTACACCCCCCCTTTTTTTTTTTATATATATATATTCATTTCACATCTATTATTTTATTAAAATTTCAATGATGCTCCCACAAATTATTTGCTAAAATTCCCATATATAAACTCGCTCCCACTAAGTTTTGCGTCTTCAAACTCACCCGCTCACTCTCAAAATTTTACTTCCTAGGCCTCTACTTAGCGGTAACCGTAGCCCATCAACGTCTCTCTCACTCTCTCTCACTCCCATGAATATCTTAAGGGTCTATTAAGTTAGATGGAATTTGATGATGGAAACTAAAAGTGAAGTGAAGCGAAGGGAAATGAAATTAAGTTTCCAGCATGCATTTATTTGATTAGAATGAAATTTTGTCAAGAAAGTTGTGGAAAAATATTATTTAATTAGTTTGGATAGTATGAAAGTAGAAAGAAAATGATTGCACTTATCAAAACCCCTAATGATTTCAAATATAAAAAATAAATAAATAAATTTGTTAGATGAGTCCTCTTCATACCCAATTGTCTATTTCCATTTTTAACAACAAATACGGAGTAGTAAAATAAAGAATTATTAAAAATAATAATATTTTAGTGAGCAACCAAAGCATAAGTAACCAAACACCACCCCTTCCCAAACATTAATACATTTTAATCCACACTTAAACAAATCCAAACTTAGAGGGAAGTCCCATAAACACAACCACTGTGAATATTTGTTTGCCCCCAAACACACATAGACTCCCACGTAAACATGCAATAGTGTAACGACCCACTCCACCATATGGTATGATATTATCTGCTTTGGGCCCGAGCTCGCACAGTTTTGCTCTTGAGTTTTACCCCAAGAGGCCTCGTACCAATTGGAGGAGTGTACAAATCCCCCATATATAGTACTTCTCCTTTCCACACCCAGGCAATGTGGGATTGTGCACCTATAACTCACCCTGCACTGCCTATTGCACCCTCCCACGACACACCCGCCCACATACGTCAGCACAATAATCCTACATTTATAGCACTTCCCCTTTCCACACCCAGGCAATGTGGGATTGTGCACCTGTAACTCGCCCAGTGTGATAGCCTTCCAGTACCTCTTGCATCCGTCACCACAATCACCCCCCTTGAGGCCTAACATCCCGTCGGCCACACTTCGTGCTGAGTCAGGCTCTAATACCATTTGTAACGACTCACTTCACCACATGGTATGATATTATCTGTGCGGACCCGGGCGAAAGCGGACAATATCATACCATATGCTGGAGTGGGTCGTTACAAATTTTTATTTTTATTTTTATTTTTATTTTTATAAGTAAATAATGTATAAAAGAGCTTTCAAAAGGAGAACGCATCCTAAAAGAGCTACAAAAGAACAAAGGGCCTCTAAACCTTCAAAGAACCCAAAAAATCAACAAACTCCTCTATGGATTTACAATTTCTCCCACTAACCCAACAAAAAAGGGTGCTAATAATGGAGAATTTCAAAGACCCAATAGTATTTTCCTTTCCTTCAAAAGATCTCCTATTTCTTTCAAGCCAAATGCACCACCAAACACATAAAGGTGTAACTTTCCAAAAATCCCTAACTCCCCCACTGTACAGCCTTTCCAAGCCTCAATAAAGCATTTGGGAGACCTCAGCATAACCCACTGATACCCGAATAATCCCAGCATCAACATCCAACAATCCCATGCCACTAGGCAATGCAAAAGAAGATGATTAACTGTTTCCTCATCGTTCTTACACATAAAGCACCAGTTAAACACAATTTGATTCCTTCTCCTTAGGTTGTCTTGAGTCATAATCTTCCCTAAGATGGATGTCCATGCAAAAAACACCACTTTGAGCGGAGCCTTAGAATGCCAAATAGCCCTCCACGGAAAGGGAGGAATTGGAGTATCCGAAAGACACCTATAAAGAGATCTAACATTAAAGCGCCCCTAACAAGAAGGAAGCCACACCTAAGGGTCGGAAACATACCCCTAATTTCTTGTCGATACAGGAGCTCTAAAAAACCACACACACCCTCAATTCCAAAATCCTGAAAAATGCGTCAAAAATCGAACATCCCAAACTATTCTGCCACTATCAAGGAAATAGCAGTCAACCACCATAGCTTGACGATTAAGCAATCCGAAAAAGTCTACGAAAAGAGTGGGCAAGAGAACGATCACCACACCAAATGTCCTCCCAGAAGCGGATTCCCCTTCTGTCCCAAACATGAAACCTGATATGTTGTGAGAATCCATCCTAACCCTTCCGAATAAATTTCCATGCCTCCACTCCACTTGGAAGTCTTATCTCCGCAGAGCACCATCCCCCTCTCAATTCCCCATATTTGCTCAAAACCACCCTCCGCCATAATCTATGCCTCTCAATCCTAAATCTCCAAAGCCATTTCCCCAATAAGGCCCTATTAAACAGCACCAATCTTCTCATACCCAAACCCCCCATCTAGATTGGAGTGCAGACACACTCCCATCTAACCAAATGGAACTTGAACTCTTCCCCTAACCTCCCCATAGAAAATTCCATTGTAACCTCTCAATTCTCTTGGCCACACTAGAAGGAATTTGGAAGATGGATAGTAAATAAGTAGGAAGACTCGAGAGGGTGCATTTCATCAAAGTGATCCTCCCACCTTTAGATAAATACTGCTTCTTCCAGCCAACCAGCCTCTTCTCAAATCTCTCAACCACTGAGTCCCAGTTACCCACTCTCCTGGATGCAACCCCAAAAAGCAGTCCCAGATAGCTAATGGGAAAGGAACCAATGCTGCAACCAAAAGTATCGGCTAAAATTGAGATCTAAAGAACATCCCTAACCGGCACCAAAACACTTTTCCCCACATTCACCGTTAAACCCAAGACAACTTGAAACTAGATCAAAATGCATCTCAAGAATCTCATCTGGAAATCATTAGCATCGCAAAAAACCAAGGTATCATCAGCAAACATCAAATGTGAGATCTCCAACTGGCTAACGACATCTCTTCCCACCCTAAAGCCTCTCAAAAAAACCCAGATCCACAGCCCTACCATCATTGTACTGAGACCTCCATCACAATCAGGAAAAGAAAGGGGGACAACGGATCCCCTTGTCTCAACCCCCTCGAACTGCCACAAAAACCTGTTGGAGCACCATTAAGGAGGACCGAAAATCTAGCACTGGAAATGCAGAACTCAATCCATTTCCTCCATCTCTTCCCAAAACCCATTCTCTTAAGAAGAGAAAGAAGAAAGCTCCAGCTGAGGTGATCATAAGCCTTCTCAATGTCTAGCTTGCATAAGACCCTAGAACCCCACTACACAACCTAGAATCAACACATTCGCCAGCAATAAGAACTAATCCAAAATCTGACACCCCCCAACAAAAGCATTTTGGGAGTCCGAAATGATCTAATCCAACACCTCCCTCATTCTCAAAGCCAAAACCTTAGCAATTAATTTGTAGATGCATCCCACCAAACTAATGGGTCTAAAGTCCTTCACATCCGTCACTCCCCCCTTCTTAGGAATAAAAGCAATAAACGTTGAATTCAGGCTCTTCTCGAAACGGCCCTGAGAATGAAAAGCATGGAAAGTGTTCATCACCTCTCCCCTAACCACCTCCCAACTTTCAAGAAGAAACCTCATAGAGAAACCATCAAGGGTCCTGGGGCTTTATCCCCATTACAACTCTTCAACACCTTCACGACTTCTTCTTCAGAAAAGGGCCTTTCTAACCCCTCACTCTCTGATCCGGAGATCGCATCAAACTGAAGCCCTCCAAGGGAAGGACACCAATTCGAGGTTTCAGTGAACAAATTCTGATAAAAAAGAGGCAACCCCCTTACAAATATCCTCTTCCTTAGACAATAACTCACCATCCACCACAATCCTTCCAATATGATTGCCCCTTCTATGGGCATTTGCAAGCCGATGGAAAATTTTCGTGTTTCTATCCCCTTCCTTCAGCCACAAAGCACGAGATTTTTGCTTCCACGAAATCTCCTCCTGAAAAGCAATCTCAACAATCTCCGCTTGACACTCACTCCTCCTTCGCCTCAAAACCTCCTCAAGAGAACCCAACCCCTCCCTCCGATCAATATAAGCAATCTCTAAAAGAGCACGATTCTTCCTCCATTCCAAATTACCAAAGACATCCCTGTTCCATAACTTGATATCATCCTTAAGGAACCTCAACTTACAGGTAAGGGAGAAACTCAGGGACCCATCCACAACATAAACTCCGCACCAAGACTGAACCATCTCCAAGAATCCCTCCGCCCTAAGCCACATATTCTCAAATTTGAAAGGCAAACTCCTTTTCCTCATCCCACCATAGTCTAACACCAAAGGAATATGATCAGACATAGGACGGGCCATGGACAACATCCGGAAACTTCTCCTCCCAACCCCCGACACAAGGAATCTATCCAAGCGAGAGAGAGTGGGGACCTCTCTACCACTGGACCACGTAAAGGAAGCTCCCTCCAAAGGTAGATCAATCAATTGACAATCATCAATGAACTTAGAGAACTGCTCCATTGCCAGAGTCCACCTACCCCCCCGAAGATCTTTCCATAGGAGAATGGATGATATTGAAGTCCCCTCCTGCACACCAAGGAAAAGGCCACCTATCTTGAACAAAAAGAAGTTCCTCCCACAACTGGTGGTGAACATCATCGTCATTTGGCCCATAAAC